CTGAGAAGGTAACATTTATGCTGAGACCTGCATGACAAAAAGAAGTGTAGATTAAGGGACATTGAGGCAAGAGGGGCATTTGAGACAGAGGAACAGCTAGTGCAGAGGCCCTGAAGAGGCACTGATGTGGCTTAGTTCAAAGAGGAAAAGGCAAGTGGGATTGTGGCAAGGGCGAGTAGGAAGAAATAGGGAGGGTCTAGGGCCTGTGTACTTAGTAAGGAGGGAGTTGAGTGTTATTCCAAGAGTAATGGGCAGCCATAGAGCTTTTAAGCCAAGGGTTGACGTGTTCTGATTCACATTTTTGAAGAATCACTCTGGTTCCCATAAGGAAAATGAATCTTTGCAGGAAACCAATGATGTTTGGGTTATGTATGCTATCCAACAAACAACACCCAAAACTTAGGGCCTTAAAATAACCGGTTAGTCTGCTCACTATTTTATGGGTCAGGAAATCTGGGAAGGACTCAAACAGCTATTTTATCTCTGATTCACAAGACATCAGCAACTGGAGCTGGACGATCTACTTCCAAGGTGGTTTCTTCGTGCACATGAAGATTCTCCCTGACCTTTCTCTTTCTCCTCATGTCTTCTTATCCTCTAGGGCCTGTCAGTGTGGTATGGGCTTCTCACAGCCTGCTGGTCTCAGGGTCATTGTGCTTCTTTCATGGAAGCTCATTTCTAAGAGAAATGAAGTAAGAGCTTCTAGTCATCGCCACAGTTGGAACTAGCACCACAGTACATTGCTTCCTGGATATTCATTGGTTAAAGCAAAGAGCCCAACCAGATCCAAGAGGGTAGAATAAACCCCATCCATGCAGTAAGGTCACATTGCAGAAGCGACAAAGATTAATTATGTGGGGTGGAAGATATTACTGCAGCCACCTTTAGGGAATACAGTATGTCACAAGTGAAGCCACTTAAGTAATTCAGGGAAGAGATGATGATGCCTTAGCTTTGGATGTTTGCACTGGGCATGTGAAAGGGGTGGATTCCGAATATGTGAGCAGAATATCTGAGCGTCGTAAAGCACTAACAAATGCGTCTGGGTACTTGCTTAATTGAATTGCACTTTATAAGATTACGTGGATAAGCGTTGCCCACCACCAATAAAGCTAAGTTACAAATAAATTCGTTCTATCCATAGGACACATACATCATTGTCATGCTTCACAATGCGCCTTGTTTTGAAGAATGAGTTATTTAGGGCAGGGATTTAATGAGGCCCAGATATCGGGCTATGCAGGAAGATGAAAGCATGGACCTATAGGCTGAGATCCAGGGATTGCCACATCCTATAACCATGAGTACTTCAGAGACGAAGAAGGGTCAAATAACATTACGGTTTTCAAAGGCTTCCTGGAGATGAGTGCATTGTGCATTTGCCTACAGAAAGACCCAAGTAGCTTTCACTTCATACATTCAGTTTGCTTGAGGAGATGAAGTTTTTAAGGTACGGAAGTCAGTGCACCAAAGAGAGCATATGAAAAAGAATATTTATGGTGGAAAAAAAACAGCTGGAAGCTATGGTTCCATTTTAAAACAGGAGAGATCCATCCAGACACTTGCCCAGAATCACCTAGTTAATTAATGGCAGAGCTGGTGCTAAAAGACTCCCAGTTCCAGTCTGGGATTCTTTCCCCTGCATCACCTGCCACCCTGCTCAGAACACAGCTTTGTTGTGTCCTGTGGTCCTACTGGACCCCTGCTGTGGCTCCACTGACTTACAAATAGGATCCAGAGGGCAGGAGAAACGACAGTGTACGAAGCAAATCTAGTCTCTCTACTGGAAAAATAACTCTAAAATATACTTTGCTAATTTTGACTCTGTGGCATCTCTTTGTGGAGTGGATAACACATGTGTTTAAGTGAAAATCATCACAGTGAGACCACTTACGGTGCTAAATGTCCCATAGACTATTTCTTAAAATTCACTGAATTCCTGAGATTCTGAGGTCACCCTATGACTCTCAGTTCTTACATCTCTATTAAAAAAGAAAAAAAAAAAAAAAACAGCTCAAGACCACCAGGGTCTTTTGGATTGGAAAGTAAGAAGAACACAAATCTTTACTGTATGTGGAGGGGCACATGTATATTATGATGCATGTTTATATATGTAACTTCTATTTCATATGTGCAAATGCCTGGTGTTGGATTTTGTTTTCTCAGTACTTGAAGTAGGCAGAGCTCCACACTGCACGTAGATAAAGGTTCCATGTTCTAATTTGCATAATTTTATTCTCACCTACTTTGAATTTCTTTACTTTTTTTATAGCCAAATAAAATGGACATAATTTGTACCTATTTGTCTTCACTAATTGAGCACTAATTACCACTTTATGCATCACTCTTATTGTATTTACTACAATAAGGTTAAGGACCCAGAGATCCAGTATTTTCCCATGTCTGGTTTTGTTTCACATTTGAGCTTATTTGTATACCTATTACATCCTTACGCTCTTAAAGGATCTATAAAATATTGCTCCTTGATCTCTATGTAAGAAGCAATTTGCTGGGCTTTAGTGTTGGAGGAAAAGACCTCAGGATTGGTGCCTGGGAATGTGAAAATCTTTCCCGTGAATTTGGATGTCTGCTCAACAAGATTGCACCACAAAAACCTCACACTTTTATTGTTTCGCGTGTTACATTGCACTAAGTTTAACTGCATCGGAGAAGGCACAGGTGGTGTTTAAGTTCCCAAATACCTTAAAATTTCAATGCCGCGGGCAAGAAACAGACAACTGGGTAGGCACAAGTTGTAATATTTCAGGCAAGACATTGCCAAAATCAGAAGAGCCTTTGCCCATACATTTTACCGTCACATTTCTATGAACCTTTATGCATTTCAGTAAGGCTTTTAAATAGATTCTTAGGCAGTGCTTTCCTGTAGGTCTTCATTAAGGCATTGACATTAAACTGTTTTGAAAAATCACTTTTTACAGGATCCCAAGAGCTGTCCCCTTCTCTTTTAAAGCACTTTCTCGATACCTAAAAATTCAAGTACTTTCTTAACCAAGTGCAGACTGAAATATTTCACTATGGATTTGAACAGAAGCCAAGAGCGTCAATGAAAGGAAAACTTCTCTATAAAAGGTTTATTGTCAGTGCTTTCTAAAGAGGTAGATTCTTCTAAAACAGGCTACCAGCATTTTCACAAACATTGACGCAGCCTTCTCAACCTCTCCTAGACCTAAGATTGAGGTCCTTTTCTTTTAGGAATGCTCTGCATCTAGCCTTTGACCTTCTGGATAGCCAACTCTATCTAACTGCTCCCTCCTCCAGCAGCATAACGTATATTATAAAAAGGAAAGGGGGGATGGGGTAGCTCGGTCCTCACGCTATTGGAAAAGTACTTGAAATTCCTTGCATTCCTTTGCATTTAACAGCATGTTTACCTAATCATTGGCTTATTAGGATTAACACAAGTCATTGCTTCAAGCTCATTCAGTGAAAACAAACTGACTCCTATAGACTCCAAGACTTTTTTTCTGCTCCCAACTAAGGGTGGATCGATCTTTCGGTAGCTCTCCTATGCTTTCAGAACAATATTGGGAAAATATAAAGTTATAAACAAGTGACCTTCTATAACACATTATCCAACCAGACTTAATCTTGCCCATGAATTTAGATATGGGCAGCCTGGGTTATGGACTGTTTCATTCAAGTTCCTCTCTCTTCTTCCAAGGTGACAAGCATAATAACCTAGTAATTAAAAATGATAAACGACCCTACTATACCCACCTTACAATGATGGAGTGATGGAGACCCTTAGGCTTTGAATTCTTATGAAAATAAAGCATTATTATTTTTTTTTTAATTTTTTTAAAGTTTATTTATTTTTGAGAGAGAGAGACAGAGTATGAGCGGGAGAGGGACAGAAAGACAGAGAGGGATACACAGAATCAGAAGCAGGATCCAGGCTCTGAGCTGCCAGCACAGAGCCCAACGCGGGGCTCAAACCCAGGAACCATGAGATCATGACCTGAGCCCAAGTCCGATGCTTATCCAACTGAGCCACCCAGGCACCCCATAAAGCATTACTATTTAAATCACAAATTTAGCTTCAGATTCCTTGTGCTTCCTAGGATGCCTAAGTGTTCAACATGTTTTAAAAACAGATTACTTTACATGCAGAGATTTTTCTCAACTGAAGATAAAAGCAGACATTGTCTTACTTTTGTAGGTTAGTTCCCTGCCCTTATCCCAAGCTCCGAGAACAGTTCCTGGCACAAAGTAGACACTCAAGTAGTCCTGGTTGAATAACTGAAAGAATGCATAATACGCTAAGCTTTTGCCAATGACTTTGGATAGTCTCTGAAAATATCGAATGCCACACACTCAGATATTAGGTAAATATTTCTTTATTAAATGATTAATTCCATAAATAAATTCTTTTCACTGAATATAAAATTAAAATCATTTACAAATTATTCCAGTATTACATTTCCCTTCCCTCCCCAAAAGCTACATTTCGATAAATAAAAACATTCAGTCTTAAAACACCTGATTTCTGTTTGCAGTTTAGAGTGCAGATAGCTGCCTCTCACGGTCACTCACAGAGTGTCCCCTTCAGGAAGGGATGGCACCCCCTCCCATTTACTTCTTTCAAAAGATGAAGGCTTTAACTGATCAACTAATCTTTTTTTTTTTTTTAACAATTGTAGAACCAAAAGGAAAAAAAGCCTAGAGAAAAATATGCTTACCAAATAATTTACAAACAGAAAACAGAACGTCATCAACAGCACAAGCTCCAAAATGAAGCAGTAACGTGGGCTCCAATATTATGAAGCGAAGTATTCTCCCATCGTGGCTGCGTTAGTGTCCGTCCATCTGCACCAGCACACCTGGCAGTTTCAAAATACCTTAATACTACTCAAGAATGAGCAATGCATCCCTTCTACAATGAGTCCCTCACCCCCACCGCCCCCACCCATATCTCTGTGATTCTGGCACTCTTCTCCCCCCTCGTTTGTTCACCCTCGCGCTGGAAACCCAGGTGGCATTTAGTCCCTAAATTTGTGAATGTCATTGAACAGCCTGTAGAAGGGAAACACCGCCTCGTTGGCATGCGGGCAGTTGTAGTTGCACTTGCAGGACTGGATCATCATGACGTTCTTGGAAAACGTCTCCCCATCTTCGCAACGGAAGCGCATCTTCACAGTCCTGGTCTGCTGGGGCGTGCAGCAGCGGCCGTCCACGCACGAGCCGCAATACTTGGGCCGGTATTTCTTCACACTCGAACATCCAGCATAAGTAAACTTGACTGGTTCGGGGGATTTCTTGGTCTTGCTGCATTTCTTGCCCTTCTGTAAGAAAGAGGAAAGAAGGAGAGTTAGGAACAGTGTTTGTCTCGGAAGAGAGGTTCACATCTCGCCCAGCTGCCAGGCAACAGTCTCCAACAAGCACCAGCGGAACTTACTTTCAGGCTGCTGTACATCTGCTGTCCACAAGGCCGCACTTCACAAATCCGGGTTTCCTTCACCAGGCGGCATTCAAGGTTGTCATTGGTAACTCGTGTGGAGATACCAGTTCCACAGGTCTTGGAGCACTGGGACCATGAAGTTGTTTGAACGATACATTTCTGGCCATGTAAAGAAGGGTTGTATAGGATTCGAGGTTCCATTCCAAACGCTAGAGACAAACAAGAGGGAAAATTTCTCAGAGGCATAATGACACCAACAGACTCAAGGAGTCGTTTCTACAAAGCTTCAAACTAGGAATGTATTTCAGTACAAGGTCTTTCAGGCTCAGTCTCAACTTACCTGGGAGCCGCTTCAGGGAGCCGCCTTTTCCAACCGCAATTAATTCATTGTTCCTGGTTAACTCCACCTCCGAGGCATCAAATGCCAGCCCCTTGCCCAGGAGGCCATCCCGGTCGTCTGCGGGGTCCTTGGCACCATCCTCGTCACAGACCCACTCCTCACAGCACTGCCCGGTAACTTTGACTAGCCGGGGGTTGGGACAGCCCAAGTTGGGGAGAGAGAGTTCTTGGGGACACAGAGGAATGCAGCCCACAGCGCCGTCGATACATGTGCACTGATGTTTACAGTTGGGCTGGAAACTTTCCCCATTCTGGTAGATTCTGGAGTTATATTCACAGGGTCTGCCCTCTGATTGAGCTGCAAAGAGCACCGAAAGAGAAAGGGAAAAGAGGATAAAGTTAAGATTCCCAACCACGGCCTGAAACTCATACATATTTTCTGCTGTTAAATTCAATTTATGGTAAAGTTCCCTACAATTCCTCGGGGACTCCAGACCAGAACAATAAGTTAGTCAGGAATCACTTTTCCGTATGCGCTTTTCGTTGGGCCCAGACACACTGAATTGCATTCCAGACTGCTGAAATCATGTGCCTTTCTGCCAAGCTACCAACAACAAAGCATCACCATACATGGTCTCAAAATTACTAAACTTCTGGACTACGGGGACTATTATTTTTTTTAAAGGGGCCAAACCACAAGCATCTTACCTCTGCAGATCCCCTTCGGAGCGGTGGAACTGGCGCCGAAATTGCATTCCAGCCCCTTGGTGTGGTCGCAGGGCTGCATTTTGCTGCAGTCCTCGTTGAGCTGCTTGGCGCAGACCTTACAGCAGCCGCAGCCGTCCCGGACCAGCCCGACTCCCGGGGCGCACTTGGGCGCCTCCTGGGGGCAGTGGCAGGCGGCAGGGCAGGTGGAGAGCGCCTGGAGGGGGGTGGGGGGACAAGGCACGCGTGAGACTCGGCGCGGTTAGCAGACGAGCCCAGAGAAGGGAGGGTTCCTCCGACCCTGTCTGCAGGGGGTCTCTGATCCGTCCAACCCGGCCACCCTTGGCGGCTGCGGCTGCCAGCAGGGCCCCCGACGCGTCTCCAGGGGGGGGTTGAAGAAAGAGCTAACCCGAAACGCCCCCGAACTTTTTAGTTTAGTTTTCTCTGCGGGGAGCAATCTGGGGAAAGGGGAAGGGCCTGGAAGAGCGGATGGGGGCGCGGAGGCAAAAGAACTCACCAGCCTGGCCAAGTGGAGAAGGGTGACGGCGAAGGCGAGCGTCCTGGCGGTGCGGGAGCTCATTGTGGCGCGCAGGAGTCCGGACGAGCGCGGAAGCAAAGACGCCGATACACGGGTGCGCAGCAGTCGAGGTCTGGTGCGTAGATCCGGGAGACGGGACAGGCTCCGGTCCGTGCGGCGGGGTGGCGGGCCCGGTGGCAGGAGGGCGAGGGCTGGGGCGGCGAGCGGGCTGCAAGCGTCCTTCTCTTGAGGTCCTTCCCGAGGAGGCGCGAAGGGCGCGGGTGCTGCTCGGGGGCGCTCTCGCTCGCGGTCTGCCCAAGCGTCCAGAGCCCGCCTTTTATACGGGCCGGCCGCGGCGCCGCGTGTTGCAGTGACGTCGGCTCTGTCTGCGCGTTCCAGAATTCTCAAACATCTCAGGAATGCTGGTTGGCGCGGGCTGCTGCCAAGCGCCTCCCCTGGCTCCGTTGCACCTTTTTTTTTTTTT